TAGCGTAGTATAGTTTAGATTCTACAAGCTACCATACATATATTTGAAAATTGATCAGTCCTAATGTACTAATTGCCTATCTCATTTCTTCAGGACCTAAAATGCCAGGAAAGTACTAATACCCCTTAAGTGACTCCTCAAGGTATTTAGTAAGAGGCATGGTGAACTTTTTGAAGTTGTAATATTTTCACACAGTTTTTTGGAAAATGAAGGAGTTAATTTAATTTTAATTTTTTTTCACACAATTGTCATTTTAATAAGTTATTTATCACACACTGCATAAGCATACTTGCAATTACACCCCAAAACACATTCTGTTACCCCTCCAGAATAAGCGGATACCACGTGTGAGACTTTTTTACAGCCTAGAGGCATAGAGGGGTCCAAAATTGAAGGGCTTTAGGAGCAAAAATTAGGCATAAATTAAACATTAATTTCCTGACTACCTGTCACATTTTTTAAGGTCCTGGAGCACCAGGACAGTGGAAACAACCACAAATTGCCCACATTTTGGAAAGCAAACACCCAAACATATTTTCTATGGCTTGTGAGTCTTTTGAAAATGTAATTTTTTGCCACAAGTTTTTGAAAAATGTGGAAAGAAAATTAAAATGTATTTTTTTTTTACACAATGTTGTCAACTTCTGAGATATTTCTAAAACACAGCATGTACATAGTTAGAATTACACCCCAAAATACAATCTGGTACTCCTCCTGAGTATGTCATCCCAGGGGATTGTACCTCAAATCAGACAGTGAAAGCTCCCTGCTGCTCTCATCTGTCATGCTGAGGATTTCAAATGCCTTTTTGTTTGTGTAAACTTTTTTGGTCAAGGCTGGCTCTGGTGACAGCATACTGCTGTGACAGTGACGCTGGGGCAGATGTGGCTGAATCAGGGCACTGATGAAAGGTGCACTGGTGTGGCTGAACAGGACACTGATGAGGCTGCACTGGCAAGGCTGGCCAGGACACTGAGGAAGCTGCACTGGTGTGGCTGATCAGGACACTGATATGGCTGCGCTGGCATGACTGCACCGGCATTGCTGATCAGGACACTGATGAAGCTGCATTGATGTGGCTGCACTGGCATAGCTAATCAGGGCACTGCCGTGGCTGCACAGGCATAGCTTATCTGGACACTGATGCGCCTGAATGACTAATCGGAAAACTGATGCGGCTGCATTGGTGTGGCTGATCAAGACACTGATGAGGCTGCAGTGGCATGGCTGATCAGGGCACTGATGAGGTTGCACTGGCATGGCTGTACTGGCATAGCTGATGAGGGTACTGGCTTGGTTGCAGTGGCATGGTTGATCAGGACACTGATGAGGCTGCAATGGTGTGGCTGCACTGGAGTGACTGATCAGGACACTGATGGAGCTGCATTGGCATGACTGATCAGGAAACTGATCAGACTGCACTGGCATGGCTGCATTGGCGTGGCTGATCAGGACACTGATGAAGCTACATTGGCATGGCTGCAATTGTATGGCTAACTGGGACAATGATGAGGCTGCACTGGTGTGGATGGATTGGAACGGTTGATCATGATAGTGATGAGGATGCACTGCCATGGCTTATCAGGGCTCTGATAAGGCGGCACTGGTGTGGATGACTGGCAAGGCCGATCAGGGCTCTGATGTGGTTGCACTGGTGTTGATGACTGGTGTGGATAGAGATCAGGTGGCTGCACTGGTGTGAGACGCTGTATAAAAATCACAGTATGTAAACATATTTTGTAATCCTGCATGGATTGGCTCTCCTTCCCTCATCTGTAGTCTCTGTGTGAGGAAACCAATAACCAACAAAGGAATTGTGTTTGTTTACTTTGTGATAGATGTGATTGAACAAAGCTGATCATGTGGTAAAGGCCCACTGAGATTGGCCCTTTACCCCAATCTGTGATCCGCTGTGTCCAAGGCACACAGTGGTCACATAGCCCTCCCGATGCCCACCCCAGGGGGCATGCAGAAAGCGCACACATGGGAGGACATCCAGGGAGGCAGTATATCAACATGAATTTCAATTTCAATGTGTGGCAGCTCCTGCTCAAAAAAAGTTGACTTAATGATCATGTTTTGTCGAATAGGCTTGTTGGAAGCTTCTGATCAGCTTATTCTGACAGCAGATAGTTCTGCTGTCAGAACACAGTGTCTAAGTGGGGAGGAATCCTATATGCACCTCAGTTGTATGGATGGAGGAATCATTTTTTAATTTTTTTATTCACTTCACTGGCAGAACAAAAATGTGGATCCATCTATGGCCAGCTTTAATGGCTAGCATGTGAGACATTGGAATAAGATAAAAGCAAGGGAACAAGCATTTTCAGGAGGTCAGTGATAGCAGCTCCCTGTTGCTTACATAATAGGGACTTAATACATTTCTATGGTTTGCTGTCTTCACATCTGTATACTAGAATTCTGCAACAATATAAAAAACAGTGGTGCTTATATAAAGTAATGGATACAATGGTGGTTCCATGATTCCCTTTTATTTGACAAAGAAAATCCTAAAACTTAATGATCCTGCCAGGTACCACTCAATTACAACTGTAGAAAGGGGATCCCCTCCCCTTTCTACAGTTGTAATTTGAGGCACACCTCAAAAATGAACACCACCAAAAAAACTCTCACATAAAAAGATATGGATCTGGCTCAATACCTCATAAGAGAGGGCTTTTTATTCTGTGTCATACAAGCCTCTGCAGCAGCCGGGAGGGATCGGAGAAATTGGTCAAGCAAGTCACTGGCCATGTCTGGATCTACATTCAGTTTAAGAATGGACTGATAAGTATACCAATCTATATACATCTTAAAAGGTACATTATCCATTTGTATGCATTGTTTGGGTTGAAGAAGGCCTCGGTTGCTGCACTGCCATTTTACCTATGATCAATCCTTTGTGTTCAAGCCAACATATGCACAGCATATCAATACCAGGCAACAAAACCGGAGTATATACAGGCTACAAATTAGCAGCTATTGGTGCAAGGGAGGGTGACGCCCACAGAGGGTGCTTTTGGGTTTATTTATATCTATAAAATAACCCTATACTAATATTCCTTTTCCTCCTCTGGACCACTCATGATTTATGCTCCTCTGGCTTGGATATTTTGTGACTACATCTTATACATTACCATTACTGTCTATAAACAGGATTGAAAATGAAACTATAATTGATATAATCTCCAGTAAAAAATATATTGGGACTATCTTTATTCACCTTTATATATGATATGTCAAGAAATCTGGAGATTTAGGAATTTTTCCATTATACATCTTTGTCAACTCTGTGTATGGGACTAACCAGGGATCAACATTAGTCCAGCATGCTGTTCATCAATTTAAAAACTTAGTGGTCACTCTTTCTATCCCCATCTGTTCTCTATGATTGTCCCTTTGTTCTGAGAGCTCTCAGCTTTGATTGGTATCCAATTAATATAATATAAAGGTACAATATTTATCATATATGTGTGTCACTTTGATCCAAGATATCTTATTGATCTTTTGACGTGGCCCTTGATACTTTTTAATTATTGTGTTTATGTGTTCAATGTGTACTCACTTTTAACTAATTAATTAATAAAAAGTTATTATTAGTTAAATATATTTGTCTGTACAGACAATTTTATTTATAATTTTTCATTTTGGATATATGCTTAAAACATTTTTTTTTCTAGGGTTGAGGTGTTGAGCCAAATCCATATCTTTTTATGTGAGATTTTTTTGGTGTCCCTTTTTATTTGGTCAGTCCTGTTGATATGTTTGCTACATAAAACACTATAAACCTTCAGCCTTACTGCTCCTAGTGCTGATCAGGTTAGCCAACTAAACAAACAAAAAACACCCAGAACAAACTGGCGCAGTGAAGATAATTATACTTTTTATTATAAAAATAATACAAATCAATTGCAAATATACACTAGATTGCCAAAAGCATTGGAATGCCTGCCTTTACATGCACATGAAGTTTAATGGCACCCCAGTCTTAGTCTATAGGGTTCAATATTGAGTTGGCCCACCCTTTGCACCCTGGGCAGCACATTGGCTAAATGGTTAGCACTTCCGCCTGGCAGTACTAGGCTCATTGGTTCGAATCCCAACCACGGCACCACCTGCTGGAGTTTGCATGTTCTCCCTGTGCCTGCGTGGGTTTCCTCCGGGTACTCTGGTTTCCTCCTACACTCCAAAAACATGTTGGTAGGTGAATTGGATCCTGTCTAAATTGGCCTTAGTATGTATGAATGTGAGTTAGGGACCTTAGATTGTACATCCCTTGAGGGTTAGGGACTGATGTGAATGTACAATCGATATGTAAAGTGCTGCGTAAATTGACGGTGCTATATAAGTACCTGAAATAAATAAATAATAACAGCTTCAACTCTTCTTGGAAGGCTGTCCACAAAGTTTAGGAGTGTGTCTATGGGAATGTTTGACCATTCATCCAGAAGCACATTTGTGAGGTCAGACACTGATGTTGAACAAGAAGGCCTGGCTCGCAGTCTCCACTCTAACTCATCTCAAAGGTGTTCTGTTGGGTTGAGGTCAGGACTCTCTGCAGGCCAGTCAAGTTCCTCCACCTCAAACTCGCTCTTCCATGTCTTTATGGACCTTGCTTTGTGCACTGGTGCGCAGTCATATTGGAACAGGAAGGTGCCTTCCACAAACTGTTCCCACAATGTTGCGAGCATGAAGTTGTCCAAAATGTTTTTGTATGCTGACACCTTAAGAGTTCCCTTTACTGGAACTAAGGGGCCAAGCCCAACCCCTGAAAAACAACCCCACACCATAACCAAACCAAACTTTACACTTGGGACAATGCAGTAAGGCAAGTACAGTTCTCCTGGTAACCACCAAACCCAGACATATCCATCAGATTGCCAGACAGGGAAGTGCAATTTGTTACTCCAGAGAACATGTCTCCACTGCTCTAGAGTCCAGTGGTGCCGTACTTCACATCACTGCATCTGGCGCTTTGTATTTCACTTGTTGATCTAAGGCTTGGATGCAGCTGCTCAGCCATAGAAACCCATTCTATGAGGCTCTCTATGCACTGCTTTTGTGCTAATTTGAAGGCCGCATGAAGTTTGGAGCTCTTTAGTTATTGACTCTGTAGACAGTTGGCCACTTCTACGCACTGTGCGCTTCAGCATGCTCTGACCCCGCTCTGTTATTTTACATTGCCTACCACTTTGTGGCTGAATTGCTGTTGTTCCCAGTTGCTTCCACTTTGTTATAATACCACTAACATTTGGCAGTGGAATATTTAGCAGCAAGGAAATTTCATATATGGACTTATTGCACAGGTGACAACCTATCACAGTACCACGCTAGATTTCACAGAGCTTCTGAGAGTGACCCATTCTTTCACACATGTTTGTAGAAGCAGTGTGCATTCCTAGGTGCTCGATTTTTTACACCTGTGGCCGTAGAAGTGATGGCAATACCTGAATCCAATGATTTGACGGGTGTCCCAATACTTTGGCAATATAGTGTATACATCTATATCTATATAACCTTCAGATCCATAAATGACACACAGTACCATAGTTAGTAAAATGTCTTGTATATTGTTTTCCATCATATCTCATAACCTGTTTTTATGTCATATAAATGAATACAGGATTCCCAACTGTGCTTTTAAAATGCTTCTTTGGCTTAAACTTTTAAAATTATTCACAGTAGTTTGGTCAGTGGGTCTCTTTACTCTAACGGGGGAAAAATTACTTTTCAAATCCCGTGGCTTCAAATATCACTCTTAGGCGCTCTAGAAGAGCTCTTTCCAGTACTGGATCTTCCAACAGAACCTCCAAAGTCTGTTAATTGGAAAAGCATTCAGTCCATCATCATAAATTGTAACCATGCTTTACCTAATATGGTGAATTCCTATGCTTGTCTGCCCTACCTAGTGGCTATATTGTGTTTTTTTCTTGCAATATACATATTGAACAAAACATGGTCAGAATTTGTGATGCTTGTGACAATTGTCCAACACTTTTTTTAAATAAATAAATTCTCTGGTTTCTGTGAGGTGTTCATGGCATTTTATTGAATATTGCTGTAGCATGGCTGAAAACATTTATCTGAATGTAATTGCTAAACAATAAACGAAGTGCAGCATTTCCCACGTAAATAAGTGGGTTTAAATCTTATTCAACCATAATTTTTGTGAGTTAAAGGATAAGTTCATCTTTTAACCACAAATAATAAATGCACATTTTTGTGCATGTAAAAAATGTTAATTTATTATTTTTTGTTTGTGGAGCCTCTAAAGCATTGCACCAGCAATCAGCAGATCGCTGGTGCCATGTAGGTCTCCAAAGATCCATTATCTCCTGCGCTCAAGGACTCAGATCAAACAGGCGTTAGTGACAAGCAGCGTGTTGTGTATTCATCCACTGGTGATCAGAGGTTGTGCAGCTCTATCATGAAGCTGGGGAAGCTTAATAAAACTGTAGAGGAAGATGAAATAAAGTATTACAGCAGTTCAGCCTGTTTAGTAAACAGGCTGAACTGCTGTAATACTGACACTCAGTGGCTGAATATCTCCTTGCCATGGGAACTCTGCCATACTGAAGTTTCTATCTGCCAAACCCAGCTCTGATGAAGAAGGGAGCACCCTTCGAAACGCGGTAGCCTTCATCCCCCCCCCTTTTTGATTTACCTGTAACCCTGTTTGGATTATGGTTACTTATGCCTGTTATACAATCATTTTGTGAGTATATTTCCTTATTAATAAAATTAGTCACTATTTATTGAGGTAATGCGCAAGGTTTGTGCGCTCTTTCTTTCATCTTCCGCCATGTAGGTCTCCAGCTGACCTGTCAGTATATCAATTTGCTTGTACATTTTCGTACAAGCAAGCACATACTACTGACAGGAAGACTCAATGAACAGTGCTGTGGAGCACTCTGGTTGTTCATTGAAAACTACAAGCTGACAGCCGGAAAGACTGCTGGGACTTGTAGTTTTCCCATTCACATTGAATACACTGTGAATGAATGACGTGGCCAGGCAGGCGGAGCCCAGCACGGCCACATCTTTTTTTAATTTGACAGCTAGCGAGGGGGGAGAAGATCCCCCACTATCTGTCACAGCAGAGAGCCAGAAGGCGCGAGGGCTGGTCTAATCGTATCATGTTACATCCTGAATATGTAACATATTAAGAAAGGTGAACTTATTCTTTAATTTGTATTACTTTTATACTAAAACAAATATACAGTAACAATCTTTAATATACCAATGTGCTCTGGATGTTTTGTGTTTATATAGTTATATGCTTGAAGTGAATATCACTTGAGGAGAATGATGGTTGATCCTGAAGTCTTCGCCAAAACTTATACCGTGACCATTGCTGTAATTTAGGGTTGGTAACAAAAATAACAATAGGGCACACTGCAGAGTAAGTACAAGCCAGCACAACTCTGGCATCATTCATGTCTGGTTTGACATTTGAGAGAGTCAGAGTATAGACCCACATGGCATTGTCCAACCCCATGAACATCACATAACATATAACCAGTAATATTACGGCTCTAGAAGCTTTATACTCAACTGATTTACCCTTTGCTTTGTTGGAGCTTCGTATGCTTTTTACAGTTTTCTCATGCCTGAACAGTACATACACGATGTAAAAGCTTGCTAGAGCCATTATTGCAACAAAAAGAAAGTCTCTAGAGGCAAAAACAATCCCATTGGCAATATAAGATAGATATGTTTGAAAATCAGTGTCACAGTAAACCAGATGAAGTGTATATGGTGAAGTATAGTTATTTCTTGCACTAGCATACATAAAACTTGTGCGGTAAAGGGCAAGGTTCATCAAAAGAATGGTGAGAATGATTGGTGTTATATTGGGAGACACCTTTTTTTTTAAATAGACCCATATCTTAGTACTTGGGGCAATAAGGATGCACTGATGACAGCTAAGCAGGCTGGTGGTGCAAATAGACATAGCTCTACCAACTCTATAGGTGTATCCAGATATCTTGCAGTTTATGTCATCCATTAAGTCCTCAATTCCTAGGGCATTCAGTGACTGTGGGATCACACGAGAAACACACAATAAGAAGATTTGAAAATGCTAAGACTAGCAGAATTATGTTGGATGGTAGAAGCCGCTTTTCTAGTACCCTAATAAGCAAAAATTGGAGTGCAATATAAAGGTTTCCTGGAATACCAGTCACAGTCAAAAGAATGAAGATAAAGGCCTTTAGAATACGAATATCCATTCCCCTAATGAAGCAAGACACGACACCTGAAAATAAAAATTTACAAGATTTTATCATTGTTTAAAACAAATTGTTGTTCATATAGTTATAAGATATTCTTGAAACACCAGTAATTGTATAATTGATAATGACATATTCAAACATACTAGGAATGCACTTTACATTTTCTATAGGGATGGTTGTCAATTGGGGAAAGGTTATAGCTAGATGTGTTAGAATTAGAGATGAGCGAAGTATTCAAAAATTCGATTCGGCTGATTCGGCGAATTCGAGGAATAAATTGATTCGATGCGAATATATTCGCTGGGATTTTAACTTATAAA